TGCCAGAGCCATGGGACACCTGCCAAAGAAAGCTTCAGACAGGGTGTAGTACCAGCCCAAGGGAAAGAGGTATGTTACAGTTAACAAAGCTGAAAGGAGTTGGAGATATAGAGAGTATTTTGACATCAGACATGGAGATGCAGAGTTCAGAGATTTCTTAGCTTGTTTTCCATCTTGCTTTGGTCCAATATTTCCTCACTCTACCTTCTTACCTACATTTTGGAATGGTGATGTATATCCTGTGCCATTATATGTTGGAGGTATCTGATTTGTTTTGGATTTTGATTTCATAGGTGATTACAGTCAAGAGATTGCATGAATCTCAAAAGAGACTTTGAACTTTAGACTCTTCAACAATGTTGAGACTGTGGTAGACTATGAGGACATTTGAAGTTGGATTAAATACTTTTTGCATTATGATATAGCTACAAACATTTGGAGGCCATTGAGAGGAATATGGTGATTTGAAAGAAAATAACTCACAAAGGGAGTGGCACTATTAGGAGGTGTGGCTTTGTTGGAGTGGGTTTGGCCTTGTTGGAGGAAGTGTGTCACTGTGAAGTTGGACTTTGAGGTCTCAAATATGCTCATCACACCCAGTGTCTCAGACCACTCATTGTTAGTCAAGATGTAAGAACTGTCAGCTTCTGCTCTAATACCATGTCTGCTTGTATGCTGCTTTGCTTTCCACCATGATGATAGTATACTAAACCTCCCAATTATATGTGAGCCACCACAATTAAATGTTTTCCTTTATAAGAGTTGCAGTGGTCATGGTATCTCTTCATGACAATAAAAACCCTAACTAAGGCAATGATTGTCATCTCTTCCAAAATACTCAATAAATACAATTTGGTCATATGAAGCATGAAATATGTAGGACACAACAAGTATTTTAAAATTAATTTTAAGTGAAAAATTTAGAAACCAAAATTGGTAAAACGGAAAAATAAGTCATTAATAATAAAGTTTTAAATTACTTTATAATATATAGACAAATAAAAGTTTTATATGTTTATGTGGTAAAGTAAATTAAGATATTTAAATGTACATTTAAAGTTATACAATTATCATATAATGGGATATTTCATTCTAAATATTATACCTTCTATATTCAATCTATTTTAGTGTGATTATGAGTGGTGGTGTGGAGGTGATGCTTGACTTGAAAACTGTAAAATGATTTATTTCACAGTAGTGAAATCTGTAATACTCAATTTGAGACTGAGGAGAAAATCATCCTCCTTTGGTGAGGGGAAGTAAACCATGCCAAATAAATCTTCATGTCTAAACTGTACTGTATTGTTCTCCAGTGTTATTTTAAGAATAGCTTTGTTTAAATGAACACATCAGTGAGGAGTTTTCTCTTTATTACTATGCTAGTGGGACTAGAAGATGCTGCTATACAATTATTTGAATCAATCTTTTGAAGGAAGCATCCTTTAGCAATGCTTCAATTTTCCAGTTTCATGTTGAGTACCAGATGTCAGAAGAGTTGAAAACATTTATTTTGGTGTCTTGGTCCTTCAAGATTTTTCTGATTCAATATCTTTCTCATCTTTCATGGTTATGTATTTAGCATCATTGAGGAAACAGGCTTTGAGGAACAGCAATCTGCATACTTTTAAAAGAAATGATTTGGCCACCTGCACTTTTGAAAGTTGTGAAAAACTATAGAAAGCTTTCCAGTGCAGGAGGCATCAATAAGTAGTGTATTAAATGTTTTGATTTCTGAGGAATATGGAGTCTCATTAGGGTGCAAGTTATAACATTTGGAGAGACATGAAAGTGGAATGAGATTAGTGATTTTCAAATTTAACAGACAATAAGTAAAGTATAATGTTATTCCAATGTAAAGGCAGAGATAACAATGCACATTTACAAATCAAAAAGAACATGAAATGTGCACAATGGTTTGGATATTTAATGTTCGCTTTCCTGATGTATTTTTTTATTTCTCTAATTTTAGGCTTTTTACCTCTACCACTATCCTCACTTTACAATGGATCTAGCTCTGCTAGAGAATATCAGTGCACATTAGCTACTGGAAGATTTATACAGCCAGCAAGGTGGCTGCTCTTATAAAGTGCTTGTTCCTTAGACAGGGTGACTCAGAACAATCCCTGGCTACCATAGTGGAAGGATCAAACAGATGCCTGAATGTTTTCTGACCTCTGTGCACCTGTGTGGATGTGTATGTACACACACAAAATAAAAACCCATGTAAACTAATAGTAATAACAATAATAATATTTTTAAATTCTGTATGATGAAAATTTACTTTGTTTCACTCCTATTTGCTTTACCAAGGCTATTAATATGTTTATACCTACGATATCTATGATGTTATTTTGATAATTAGCATATTTTAGTATATGAAGACCAAACTTAATCTCAATAGTTAGAAGCATACCACCATGTATGATATTTCTTACATGCCTTTTGGGATTTGAACTCAGATCCTTATGTTTGAGTGGCAAGGACTTCACCAACTGAGTTATCATCTCATTATACTTTTCGTATGTTTAGAATCCAAATTACTTCATATTTCTTGTCATTAGTCAACAAATAAACAAAGAGGAGATATTTTGCCATGGACATCTCTTTTGTTACAGAAAATATGACCTACACTATTTTATCTGTGAATTGTCAGTAAAATGACAGAGTCAAAGAAAAATAGAAAAATAAGTATGACACTATGATAATATGAAATGCTACAAAATAGTATACCTTGAACTATAAGTATACTAACCATGAGATCAAAGGCACCAAAACTCAAGATGTACTTCATCAATGAAAATTAGCTCAGCAGATAGAGCATCCTTGTGCAACTATTTCTCAAGTGTCTAAATATTTTATTGTATAAAATTTGATTAGCACACTATTGGTTAATAAGAATGATTACCAATGAGTTATAATGAAATATTGCAAAGCCCATAGATTGGTGCATCATCTAACTTTCATCACTTCTTTCAGCAAATGCTAACTAACATAGAGATCTGCAAGTGGACAATGCACAGAGTGAGAGACTTTGCGACACCATCCTTCATAGGATGTCGTCATCGAAACTCTCTCTACAAGGCTTGTAGATCAATGTGGAAGAGGAGGCAAAAAGATTATCAGACCCAGAGGTGGTGGATGACTCCACAGAAAGAGCATCTTCCAGACACAACAGAACAGATAAATATAAGAACTTAGAGAGATTGTGACAGCATGCAGGAGTGTACAAGTTTATACCAGACAAAAATCGTAGCACCGAGAAGAGAAGGGAGAAAAGGAAATGGAAACAAAGTTTACCCCTAACAAAAACCTATTTTCGATTGATACCTGCTGGGTGAAGGAAAATTAGTTTTTCTAATGGAGTGACAGTGGGCACACCAGCACACTGCAGAGCAGGCTCCAAGCCCACAAGCAGGTGGGTGGACTCCATGATTCCTGTGTACTTTACGTTGTGTTGTTTTCTGTTTGGTTCTTTTCCTTGTTGTTGTTCATTTTATTTGTTATTTTGAGATAGAGAGAGAGAGAGAGACAGACAGACAGACAGATAGACAGACCGACAGAATGAAGTTGGGCCAGTAGCTTGGTGAGGAGGATCTGGGAGGAGTTGGGGGAGGGGAAAGAGTAGGATCAAAATATATTTTATGCAAATAATTTGTAAATCTAATGAAAACAAAAATATAAACACATCACAACAAAAGTTAAATGAAGTTTTTTTCTCTTTTAAAATCTCCATTTATTGAATTGTCTTTCAGTGTCCAGGCTAAACAGATTATTGAGTATTTAATGGGTTAAGCACCATTAAATTTAAGAGTGTTATAGAAAATAATATACTAGGACATAATAATTGAGCTAATTTAGCCACCATAGATAGCGGGCAAAATATGTGGGCCAAATTTACTTCAGCTCATGGAATATAAGAATTTTTGTTATATAGCACATAAGGTAAACTACTAAAAATAATGAAAAAAGTGTGTGCCTTTTTGATATGGATGTTTTCGACTCTCATGTCATATATTTAGTTTAATTAAACTGTCCTCATATGAGAAAGTTGAAGAGATTTTTCTCTCTAATACAATTAATATCTTCCAATCTGGTCATTGAGTATCTAGAAACTTATTTAGGGAAGGTGCTTTTCTTCCCCAATTATGAAGACCTTGCCACTCAGCACAGATGTTGAAATGTCAAGTGCTCATGTCCCTAGATTTCAGATCATCTAGGATGAAGCACATAATTTAAAACACTCCAACCTAAGACCGTAGGTTAGCCCAATCATCAGAAGAGTTGTAAGCAGTCATGTGTGCATCTGAGTTCCCTTGAGCAGACGTTGAGGCAGTTTCTACTGAAGTAAGCAATCTGTTCCTCTCCCAAGTTCCATTTTGGCCAGTGGATTGCATGATCTTCAGTCATATGGAGGCTTTGTTGGTAGGAGGGGAGCAGGTGATGCAGCCTACACCAACAATGGCAATGGATTAGTCTTTACTTGTGACTGACTTCCCATCTTCATTCTCTAACTTCTGCCTTTCATTAGCTGCCTTCTGGAAGTTTCCTTGGACTCTCAGGCATGCATAATTAGTTGAAGTAGTGAACAGTGCAGATTTTCAGGCAATCTTGTGTCCCTTCACTTTTTCTCCTTTATTTTTGGAAAAGTTACTCCATTTTTAGTCACTCAAGGAGCTCTGAATTCCACTTTCTGATGTGTTTCTTCCATTTTCAGCTCCAGCAATTCTGTGCCATATGGTCCAAAAACTGTGACAGGTTAAAAATTGAGAGATGTATATCCTACCCAATTTTATTTCCAAATTTTAATGAGTTGACTCCATCTAGTTTGTCTCTGATTTTAGTAACTTTTCAAAGCCTTAATGTATTTTACTTATTTCATAGTTCATAGAGCTCTAAGTTAATAGATAATTTCCTTTGTATTACAAGTCCAATATTTTCCAACTATAAAAATAATAATTTAATAGAGTATAGAAAATTCATTAAGAAAGTACATTCAGGAGGGAAGATGGCGGAGGAGGAGAAGCTGCCGCCGGGCTGGGAGAAGCACATGAGTGGCAGCTCAGGCCAAGTATACTACTTCAATCACATCACCAATGCCAGCCAGTGGGAATGGCCCAGGGGCGGCAGGAGTGTTGGAGGCAGTAGCAAGAAGAGCCAGGGGGAGCCGGCCAGGGTGCGCTGCTCGCACCTGCTGGTAAAGCACAGTCAGTCTCGGAGGCCCTCATCCTGGCGGCAGGAAGAGATTACCAGGAGCAATGAGTAGGTGCTGGAGCTGATCAATGGCTACATCCAGAAGATTAAGTGGGGAGAAGAAGACTTTGAATCTCTGGCCTCACAGTTCAGCGACTGAAGCTTCGCCAAAGCCAGAGGAGACCTGGGTGCCTTCAGCAGAGGTCAGATGCAGAAACCGTTTGAAGTCAAACTTCCCCTGTTTGCAGATGATGTGATAGTATACATAAGTGACCCCAAAAACTCAACCAGGAAACTCCTACAGCTGATAAACTCCTTCAGTAAAGTGGCAGGATACAAGATCAACTCAAAAAAATCAGTAGCCCTCCTAAACACAAATGATAAAAGGGCTGAGAAAGAAGTCAGAGAAACATCACCCTTTACAATAGCCACAAATAATATAAAATACCTTGGGATAACACTAACTAAACAAGTGAAGGACCTTT